GCAAGGAAGAAAAGTGGAAAGAAGAAAAATTCACACATCGAACGATCCATATAATATTCACTGAAGAGTAATTTAATTTTTGGCAAAACACTGCCAGAAGCAATAGTGAAAATGTTGGATTCAACATTTGTGTTAACCGATCCATGAATCGTAACTAACAAGAATATAACCATAGCAGTGACCATGCCCGGTTCCATCAATCAATTAATCTATCGCTGGGAATCTATTCGCTATACGACAAAGCGGTCCCCCACGGCTCATAGCTTCGATTCTATAACCTAAGTCTTTGGTCATTCTTAAAACTGGTGCATTGTTTTATTGATTAATTCATATTTTCGGGCACGTCAAATCATGTGGTCATTACTCCCGTTGATGTAATGAAAGTTCCATTCCGGGGTGTAGCTGTGAGATCCGCTGCCGACTTACACGTGCAGGGTGTTTCTTCCGCAGGTACCTCCCACCAGCAGGGCGCCGCCCAGCCGGGTCAGGCTCTACGTTCCCGACTGCTCTCCCAACATAGCGTAGAGCAGATACAAATTAGCACAAAACTTGCCACGAACTTGCTTTGATGCAAGCGGATCGTCCGTGAGGCTCGAACACACGTATCCAACCAAAAATCTAAGACACTGGTCACTATGGTAAAGACTCTCCCAAACACCTTCTCTGTCACGGTCAGGCTCTTCGCGATTGCAATCAGAACTGTAGTGCACGTTGCCGACCCCAGGAACAGACTGAACGAGAATTTTCTTCCAGACAGCGTCTGATTCGTCCTAGCAATATCGCTAGTGTTGCAAATACTCCACCGTCGGGACTCGAACCGAAAGACTTTGCGGTCGGAGCTACTCCACAGAGAGCAGAAGTGCAATATCATCCAAGAGTTACAGTTTGAATTTTTATATTTTGAAATAATGAATATTAATAAAAATTAATAATTTTAGCAATGTTTATTAGCCTAAAAATATTATATAAGAAGGTAAAAATAATTATGGAAGAATGAGAGCAATGATAATTTAAAAAAATCGTTGTGAACTGCTCTGATACACACGGATCGTCCAGGAGTTGTGAACCCTGGAGTCATACGCAAAACTAACCCACTGCCCGCTTTCATGGTTGTCCCTCCAGATTTCTCCAGTGTTGGAATACCACCCCTGCCGCCACCAGCTCTAAGCACCCGACTGCTCTGTGGTAGTGTGCTGTATATAAGTGTGTATGTATGAAAGGGGTGAGGAAAGGACGAAGAAGAGGAAAGAAAGATCTTGCGCGGACCGTTGCCAGTTTGTTTGCGGCATTCACCTAGTATTGATCGGAAAAATCACGGAAAACAATCAGAGCAGCCGGTCGCAAGAATTCTGCTCCAGACAGCAACTGAATTCGACTTAGTTATCTATCCGGGGTCGAAAATCTTGCCATCGGGACTCGAACCTAAGGTCTCCCGGTCAGAGTTACTGCAGTGACTTCCACAGTCCGATCTTCGAGAAAATTGTTTGAACCTCGGAAAACTACTGATCAGCGCTACCGGCCGTTTCAATTCTTCTCCAGTCAGTAGGTAAATTCAAGCTATTGATGATATATCGAGCTAACATCGCGCTTAAGTTGAGCTAAATTAGAGGTAAAATCGAACTCAATTCGACATAGACGTGCTAATTTCGAGCTAAATTGGAACTAGTCGTGCTTAATTCGAGCTAAATTCGTAGCAAGTTCGAGCTAAATTCGAGTTGGCCTTGCTAAAGTCCAGCTAAAGTCGCGGTAAATCCGAGCTGATCCGGTGATCTGCCACCGTTGTGGGTCGAGCCCTAGGACCTTGCGGTGCCCCGGGTCCATGCGGAGCGGCGCGGGACCGAGCCCCGAAAGCGCACGGGACAGGTGACACAAGGCGCCGCG